TTGAATTATTCTCTGAAGAATCAGTTTAAACAAAGTCACGAAACATTAGAAACCTTTGTATTTCTTTTTTTTATTTTTTGTTCATAACAATCTTCTCAATGTTAAACTTTATTGATGACATCTATCAAGTAGAAGTTAATCTTTGTATGTTTGTGTGTGTGTGTGTGTTTGTGTATGTGGATTATATTTTGCTTATAAAATAGTAAAGAAGTTTATACTGATGATGCCATTTAGAGGAAAGATGAAAGTTTCACAATTAAAGCATCTAGGTCAAAACTTGATCAAAAAAATTATTGATTTCATTTGGATTTACTGATCTAATAAGCAGAAAATGGATTATCATTGAAATGATGAACCGATTATTGTTGTTATTATTATTAGAATATCAATTAAAATCCTGGAAACATGAGACAAGTTGGCATTCATCAGTCCTATAAGAGGTCAGTCAAGGCATGGTTAACTCAATGGTAACGTCTTTGACTGTAAAGCTGGATGACATGGGATCAAATCCGTCAGGAAGTAACAGTTCCCTCAAGACTATAGGTACACATTACTGACGAGTGCTAAGTAGCACGAAACCTAGTTTTACGTTTTCCTGTTAACTAACTTCAACCACCATGCATATAATGTCAAGTGGCTAGTAGCTACATTGTAACTTGGTCGATAGGATTCCTTTTTTTTTAATTAAGAAGGAACTGACATACATGACACAGATCATTACTCAATGATCAATCAATTGTAAATGAGATTTTTGTTTTAATATGGGACTACCTAACCTCACAGATCCACGATCTATCTCCCACACAAAAATCAAACCCAAAACATTTGATCCCATGTAAACGTCTAATCTATATTCTATACTGAATAATAATTTTTCAGTTCTAATTTATAATACTTTCTCGTATTGGGCTAAATTACAAATTCTTTTTTACAAGATACACATGTTTTCCCTACTTATTCTTTAGTTCTTCACATTTTTTTTTCATTTATATACTTACGTACGCTTTTATCCCTCATGGAGGAGCATAGACTGACCGCCAGCACTCTTCATCCAACTCTGTCCTGGATAATCTTTTCCACTTGAGGTTGTCAAACCCATGCCTAACCTTTGTTCACTACCTGAACTTGGGACTAGCAGTAGCCTATTTTTTTTCTAAAATTTGAATAACATTAGAACAACCAAATTTGCAGCGTAATAAAAAAGAACTGTGAATTAACATTTTAGGATCATTCAATATGTTAATAAAGAAAAAATGATAAATCTCGTAATACCATGATCAGCCCCTAAATGCCCTGATACGGCCGAGAGTGGGGAGAGTCAGCTCACCATCTTGAAATGCTCTCACATGGCCACGCGTATATAGCCTCTGCCAGGGAATTCCTACTCATTGCCTTCTCGCACCAAGGATGTTGTTTACGAAATTGAGAGGACGAAAAACGAATGTCTCGCGCTTTAATCAGGTTGGTGGACGTGGAGAGTCCACGCAGGGGAGTTGTAAAACTTTCATTCTAAACCAGTGGTGCACATTTGCTCCAGTACCCTGAGGGAATAAATGAGGTACAAACCAATCGTCGGTCACCGGCAACCATGGGACTGCATCTCTCCACGATGCTCCACTACCTTGTGGATCAGATCTTCAGGTCGAAGGTTCCGGGTGTGATCCCCCAAGAAAACCACCTGTTTTGGTTTGGGCAACCGAGCAGTATGATTACCCTCACACAAATCAAATGAAATTTGTGTGGCGCATATGTATTTAGTGCCCCCTTGTAATAATGTTTACATGTTCACATAATAAGTAATAATAATATCATGGTCATCATAATTATAATCGAATAATATAGTTAGTTCACTTAATCGTACGATATTCAATAAATGAACTGATTTATGGTGTTATTCATTTAGTTTTGCCTTATCAGAATTATTACTGATTACAATGTCACCTTTATAACTTTGCAAGACTAGAGTTTTTCTGCATTACACAAATACATCTTAATCGTTACAAAGTCTAATATTGTGGTGTGTACTACTGATGTCAATAGATATGTAAGTAGTATGTATCATCAATAGAAAGTGAAATGTATGGTGACAGAATGTTAAGAAGTTCAAAGAAAAGAGAACAAGGACAGAGAATGATTGGTGTGGCAACGAATGAACAATAAAGTCTGAGACGATGAATTTACACTTTACAAATGAAATATCTACTGTATGGATCTTAGATTTTACTAAGTTGTTCCGTGATGTTATGTTCAAATACATTCGATTGTTCCCACACTTATGTTCTTGCTCACTACAATATTATATTTTTCATGTTATTCATTTCATAAAGAGTCAAATCTATAACATTCATTTGTTTGATAATTCAAGAATAGTATTTATATGACGGAAAAGCCCTTGCATGGAATCCTTAAGGTTAAAGGAAAAAAAGGAAGACCAAAGAACATATTACGCTAAAAAATGGAAATAGACAGAAATGAGTAAAATGAACAAAAATTGGATGGAACTAGAAAAAAAGGCGGAGGAGAATGATGGTCGGCGGACTATGCTCCATTAGGAATAACTGGCGTAAAGAAGTAAGTAATTTATATGACTGGATAGTGGATGAAGAACCAATGAAAAAAAAAAACATTAAACACAGATCAAATAACTCGACCAAGTTTTAAACTACCTAGAGATAAAATAACCCTAGTGATTAAGATTTTGTTGTAAACACTCCAACTTTAGTAAACATGCTATGTTACGTGATTACTATTATTTAACATCATTGATTATAACTGTCTAAGTTTACATGTTGTTTAGCTTCAGAAGTGATCAAATTATAGGAATTTATGAAAGAAAATCAAACAAATATATTCTTTCAATGGATGAGATCATGAGTCAGTTGAAGCTAAACAACCATGGAAAACTTAGAAGCACTGGATGGCCGTTTCGTCTTATTGTGGGGCTCTTCAACAGTGCGCATCCGAAATCTCACCTCGTGAGATTCGAACTCAGAACCTATCCGTCTCGCGCGCGAGCGCTTTACCATTAGACCGTTGAGCTGGCCATCATCTAACGGTGTTAATGTCTAACTTTAATCAATCCACAAAATTGCTCCACCGTATACCATTATCATCATCAATGAGTTACTATCCCATAACAGATCTTGTTGAACTCCACTGGTAACGGCTTCTCACCAGAACTCTAGGAATCGCATCGTGAAGTCAGTCACTAGTGAGCAGGTGAATATTATCAGAAGGGGTTTGGTGGAGATTTATTAGAAATTTCAGTAGTTGAAATCATGAGTCAATTGAATAAGAGGAATTCAATTAATATATTTCAAATCAAATTACTATGGTAATGAATTACAAACAACATTATTACGTAATGTATATATATAATGTATATATATATATATATATATATATATATATATATATATATATATATAGAGAGAGAGAGAGAGAGAGAGAGAGAGAGCGAGAGACCGACAGAGAAATCTTGTTTTAATTACATGTAACTAATTGAAATATGAAGCGATAATGATTTCAATACTATTCCCACTCACTCACTCACTTGCTCAGTTACACTCACACCCACACACACACACCCATCCAAATGCAAAAAAAAAGGAGGATAAATGGCTTAGTAACCTCTATTGATCAATAGTTAGAATATAATATACTTGAATAATTCAATATAGAGATACGAATTGTTAGATCATAGGTTATTATTAGATATATTCAATTAGATAATTTATAACTCATTCATGATGATGAAATGATTGGATAGTGAAAGGAAATTTTATTCACAATAATAATAATTATTATTATTATCATTTATTCATGTGATATCATAAATCAATATTTATCACCTAATAATCAATAAAATCAATATATATATATATATATGTATAGATCAATTCATCAATGATAATATGAATAAGAAATGCATGAAAGTGATAGAGAAAAATAAAATAATCAATAATTAATAATCCTTATTAAAGATCTTTCAATGATTTTTTCATGAAATGATGATCATGATCATGATGATAATCGAATGTTAATTATATACATAACACATTGATTTATTGATTGTATAAATTGAGCCAAAAGAAATGCATTAAATAGATATATATGATTATCAATAGAGATCTATTTTTTTCTAAAATTTATAATCAGAAGAATGAAATGCCATCATGGATATAGATATAGATATAGATATGAGAACAATTGATTGTAATGTAATGTAATGATTAATATGAAATGAAGAAACATAGAGATGGTGTGATAAATGATCATGATCATGATCACGATCATGATGATGATGATATTGATGATGGTATGATAATAATGATCCAGATAAATGAAATTGATTAAAAGTTGACTAGTTTGACATGGATATTACAAATAGATAAATGAGAAAATATATTGAAAATTATTTTTTTGTTTTTTTTTTTAAAATTTTATTCAACTTACATGGATACTAGTTGATTCGTTCTCTTTTTTGTGTGTGTGTGTGTGTGCGGGTATGTATGTATGTATGTAACATGGGATCATAAATATAAACCGTTTACATACAAATTGAATAAACATGAAAGAAATAAAAGAAAATTAAATGCTAAAATCAGCTGATTTCCTGAATATTATTCAATTGATGGATTACAATTGTTAATGTATATTGCATAGATAGATAGATCTGTAATATTGTCTATGTCTATGTATATAGATTAGATAGATAGATGTGTGGATACATAGATAGATGAGAAGATAGATAGATAGATAGATGTGTGGATAGATAGATAGATGAGTGGATAGATAGATAGATAGATGAGTGGATAGATAGATAGATAGATGAGTGGATAGATAGATAAATAGATAGATCAGTGGATAGATAGCTAGATAGATGTGTGAATAGATAGATAGATAGATAGGTGAGTGGATAGATAGATAGATGTGTGGATAGATAGATAGATAGATGGATGAGTGGATAGATAGATAGATAGATGGATGAGTGGATAGATAGATAGATGTGTGGATAGATAGATTAGATTAGATAGATCTTTATACTGAAGTGTATTGTATACAATAGAAGTTGACATTTATCCATCTTATTCATCCATCTAATGATCATTAGTTGATTATTTCTTTTTATTGTTTTATTTAAACATTGAATTGATTATTATTATTATTATCAATAATTGATTGATCTTTAACAGTGAATGATGTGAATTCACTTAATGATGGTACTACTGTCATCACTCCACCTGATGTAGTTGATCCAGATCCAACATTTAGACGTGGTGGAGGTGTAATTTTTATTTTATTTTGATTATTATTAGTATTAGTAGTAGTAGTAGTAGTATTTGAACCATGATTATTATTATGATTATTATTATGCATAAAATGGGTTACTAAATCAACTGGTAATGGAAATATTATAGTAGAATTTTTTTCAGCTGATATAGTACTTAATGTTTGAAGATATCTTAATTGTACAGCAAATGGTGATTCAGTAATAACATCAGCAGCTTCTTTTAATGCACGTGATGCTTTCCATTCACCTTCAGCAGCAATAACCTTGATTGATTTGAGAAAAGATTAATGAAAAGTATTAAGAAGATTAAATGAAACAAGATATAGAAAGTAAAGAATAATTGGAAATGAATGATTCATTTCAATGATATATATATATAAGTTTGATGAATGATTATGTTTTTCTGGTTAAAGTTTGTTTGATGAGTTAGTTTTCTTACGGGATAGAATCGCTAATCTCATACCTAACACTTCAGCTTTATCTGGGGCTTGACTTGAGACTAGCAGTTATCCCAAAGCGGTTTCATTCGGAAAAAGAGAAAGACCAAAGAAATACATTACACCGACAAATACACAGACAGATAGATAGACAGACATGAAAAGAATGAACAACAACTGAATAGATGAACAAACGAAGGCTTAGGATAGAGTGGGTTAAAGTATCCTGTTAGGTGGCCTATGTAGAATATTCAACTTACAAGAATGTTCTATATACTACTGATATCGATAGATAATTGTGAATAATAATATTTCTCTTATTATAAGCTTCATTTTGTTCTATAGACTATTATGATAAAGATTTATTTTATCTTTAATTATACTCAATTTATTTATTATAGTCTATCTCATTCACAGCTACAGTTTGTGCTTGATCTTATTTACATCGTATTTTCCTATTTTATAGTGTATTATAATATGTTTAACTTGTGTATACATCAAATATGTTTCAAGTAAATGATTCATATAATGGGAAGATGTTATGGGTATTTTAGATTGAACTAGAAAAGTTAAGTAATCAAAAGATCAAAAAAAAAAAAAACAGACGCTAACCTACTCATATCGATCAAATATTATTATAAAGGGCAAGAATAAAGATTCTAACAGAATAGCATGAATTCATTTTGTTTCGTCCCGGTTCTCATCAGCTGCTTACAACCTGTGATGATATTTATAAATCATAATTAGATAATCAGTTTAAATGACTTACATGAGAGAAGGGTTTGGTTAAAAGTTATGCTGAATATATATTCGTATAGTATAGCAAGGGTGTCAATGAAATTAATAGACTGACTATTGTAAATATACATACGTTATGTGATGAAAGAATATTCTACATCATTAATTGTGACAACAGTTAAAAAAAAGGGGGGGGGTTAGAAACAATTGATTACATAATGAGTAAAAATTTTGATAGGCATATAGTGAGTAGAGTTCAGATAAAAGATTATAAATTTGAAAAGTAGTTGAAAAAATAAAAAATCAATGATGTAATAAATAGCAAAAAAACAAGACAAAAATAATTTAAGGTGCAGCGAAGGAATATTTGTCACTAAGGCAAGGAAAGATTAACAACCATCTCCTTTTGAACATATAGGTCAGGTTTTTGACACCTAATGGCAACGACTTCAGAAAACTTCAGAAGATTGGATTTTCATTGACACCCTTGCTATACTATACGAATATATCTTCAGCATAACTTTTAACCAAACCCTTCTCTCATATAAGTCATTTAAACTCATTATCTAATTATGATTTATAAATATCATCACAAGTTGTAAACAGCTGACCAGAACCAGACGAAATAAGAATGAATTCATGCTATTCTGTTAGAATATTTGTTCTTGCTCTTTTTAAAATGATAAAGGGAACTATGGGTACGAATGTTATTGATTTTAGCACAGTATTACAATTGAATAAATTATATTCTGATTATTGAATAAATCATATGATTACTAACTGGACTTGGTAACAATTCAATGATTATTATTATTATTATTAATTCATCAATTAAAAAATTAATAGTTACTCTCATAGCAACTACATAAAATAACTTTACTAAATACAAACAAACAAATTTTCTTTTTTCCACAAAGTCTATCAAATATCAATAACCAAAAAATCGATAATCAATAATGATCCTTGTATATAATTTCATAAATCAATTGAATAAACTTTTTAAAAAACATTGATTTATATAAGAGAATTATTTAAGATTATTTTTCTCTTTTATTTTTAATCAAACAAAAAAAGAAAGAAAAAAGAAAAAAGAAGAAAGAAGGAAGAAAGAAAAAAGAGAAAAAAAGGAAAGAGAGAAAAGAGAATAAAGAAAGAACGAAAAGAGAAAAAAGAGAAAAAGAGCAAAGAAAGAGAAAAGAGAAAAAGAGAAAAAAAGAAGAAAGAACGAAAAGAGAAAAAGAGCAAAGAGAGAGAAAAGAGAAAAAGAGAGAAAAAAAAGAATAATACCATCAGACTAAATGAATAACATAATGAAATGAACAAAAAGGAAAGAAAAAAAAGAAGGAGAATAAATTAATTTTCTTTTGATTATGTTCATCAAATAATAATAAAAAAAAATTATAAAAATTTTTTTTTTTATTTATTCTCTGTTGAATTAATTATAGTTTGAAAAGTCACTTGTAATTGATAATATATTATTGATAAAATAAAAAAATATTCTATACAATGATTAATGTCAATACTTAAGTCACTTTAATTCTTATTGATTATCTAAGTGAAATTAGTTTTCTTAACTATTGAATCAATTTCCAAGGAGTACAATGAAACCTATGAAGGATTTAAAAGAATCAAAGAGTTCCAGTCAATCAGAACATCATAGACCTTTGAAAAATATCAACAATAGCATGCTACTATTATAGTGTGTGCTACTTATATAGACATAAGTAGTATATGATGTTAGTCGTGAACATAATCTCTGGCAGCAGACAAACAAGGGGATCGAACAGTAAACAATGCAAACACAATAAAATTTGTATGAAAATGCAGGAACAACGAAATATGAGTCATTTTGACACGATTGATGAACATTTTGCAAATTGAGCATTTACTATGTGGTTGTTGCATTTTATTATCAGGTTCTGTAATTTTTTATTCAAATGCATCCGATTGTCGCCAGCCGTGTTCGTGTTCACTACATTAAGTGTCGCTGCTAACCAGGAACGGCAGAGGTTTTGTTCTGCGGACGCCGTTGCGGGCCTGGAGCTGAGGTGCGGGTCGGGGCAGTCTGGTGAAGTGTTCTGTTGGGGCGGCGTTGGCTGTTGCAGGTGTTGTCGACAGAGAGGAGCAATGGCACGTGCGGCTGATGGGCGGACATCGGATGTAGATGGCTCGGCAGGCCGGTGGAGCACGGGTGTAGACGTCCCAGGTGCCGGGTGGATGTCGGATGTTGGTTCCCCGGTAGGTCGACGAAGCTGTGGAGGTCATCTCGCCGCAGAGGGCGTAGCACAGACTACAGATGGAAGGATGTTGCACGGCGAGCATGAACCACCTCAAGAACGAATGCTTTTAAAGAGGGGACGAGTGTGGTGTGTGCTACTTATGTAGACATAAGAAGTATATGACTTGAGTCGTGAACAGGATGTCTGGCAGCAGGGTCACGAAAAGATCGAACAACAAAGAATGAAGAAAGAATGCAATTTGTATGAAAATGCAAGAACAAAGGGATTATGAGTCATTTAAGACAAGTGATGAACAATTTGCAAATTAACGATTTAATATATGGTTGTTGGATTTTACTAACTTGTTCTGTAACTTGTTGTTAAATACATTCGATTGTCACCACTGGTGTTTTTTTCACTACACTATTTGCAGATTGGCTGAAATATAATGTTGATTTAACAAATGCTAATATCTATAAATACATGTGATTTTCTGTACATTTTAATTCATATCAAGTAAACACATTTCCAGCTTCTCATCTGTTTTCTGACTTGTAAAGGTAAAGTTCTAACGTTCGATTGTCGTAGTTGTAACCCGTATTCTGTGTGAATCGCCTAGCGAACTTAACACTAACGAAATCCGAAAATTCAGTCTCAAGTAACTTAAGTAACTTAAATAATATCTACAATTGACAAATACTCTTACTTACTTACTTAGGCCTGTTATTTCTAATGGAGCATAGGCCGCCGACCAGTATTGTCAAACACACTCTGTCCTCCGCCTTCTTTTCTAGTTCCATCCAAATCTTGTTCAATTTTCTCATGTCTATCTCCATTTCCCGTCGTAATGTGTTTTTTGGTCTTCTTCCTCTTTTTTGGCCTTGAGGATTCCATGTGAGAGCTTGCCTTGTGATACAATCCAGTGGTTTTCTCAATGTGTGTCCTATTCACTTCTAGCACTTCCTCCATTGGGATGTGGTTTGTTCTCTCCCACAGTGGGTTCTTGCTGATAGTGTCTGGCCAACGGATCCAAAGTATTTTGCGTAGACAGATGTTAACAAACACTTGTATCTTCTGGATGATAGATGTCGTAGTTTTCCAAGTTTCTATCCCATACAGTAGAACTGTCTTGACATTTGTATTGAAAATTCTGACAATGTTGTTGGTTGCCAATTGTTTTGAGTTCTAAATGTTCTTCAGTTGTAGATATTCTGCTCTTGCTTTGCCGATCCGTGCCTTCATATCTGCATCAGATCCACCGTGTTCATCGATGATGCTGCCCAAATATGTAAAGGTTTTTACATCTTCCAAATCTTCTCCGTTAATTGTGATTGGATTGGTGCAAGCTGTGTTGTATCGAAGAATCTTGCTTTTTCCTTTGTGTACATTGGACTGGAGTCCCTCCGGAGGCTACTGCCGGTCCCAAGCCCGGATAAAGGATGAGGGTTCAGCATGGAGTTAGCGACCCCATCCCGTAGAAAACTAACTCGCTAGAAAACGCCAACCAGAAAAAAAATTATTCAAACCATTTAAACCCTGCCCTGTGAATCAGAAGGTCTTCGTTTAGACAAATACTCGATATCACTTAAATTAATGGATAAATAAACTTGAACTTGATACCTACTTTGATTCATTAATAATTGAGTAATATTAAGATCATAATCGTTTTAATCAATATCACGAGATCAATATTACTGAAAACATATTTTACTAACCTTAGCTCGAGCTTCTCTAGCTGCTTCAGCTTCTGCTGCCATAGCACGTTGTAATTGTACAGGAAGACGTACATCTTTACTAGTAGAAAAAGATAGAATAATTAGTATTTGTGCAGTAATTCATTTATGAATATATAAACAATAATGGAAAATGAAAAAAAAATCATATTCTAGATTATAAGCAAAGATGGATAGTGTCTAGCAGTGGAATCCAGGACGCCCGTTTCGTTTTATTTGGAATACGTCGTCAGCTGTATGTACCTGCATCTCAGACTTCTTGATGTTCATTCTGGGACTCAAACCCAATATCGTTCGTTTCAAACACCACCGGGTTATCCACTTAGCTAATGAGTCCTAATAGCCACTTGTTTGTGCAATAGGGTGAAGTTTAATTCACTTGATATTGTTGTTTACTGAAATCTTCTCATTGATGTTTAGGACTGAAATTGATCAGTCTGTTATTAGCATATGTATATACTGTGCGTATTGCCTCGATATTGCCTTAATTTAAAAGCATTATTAGCAAAGATGGATAGTGGCTAGCAGTGGAATCCAGGACGCGCGTTTTGTTCTATTTCGGACTCGTCAGCTGGATGTACCTGCATCTCAGAGTTGATGTTCACTCCGCGACTAGAACCCAGTACCGTTCGCTTTAAACGCCATCGCGTTATCTACTCAGCTACTGAGTGTTACTTGTCGTTAAATAAGAAGTAATATAAAAATTGTTCCACTGAGCCATCAGTAAACCATTGAGCTAGTTCATCTATTTACACACATACAGCTCTTCTTCCTTTTGTAGCATAGTCCAACGATCACAATTCGCTAACCAACTTTGAATTCAGCTCTCCTTTCCAATTCTACAAAACTGCAATTTATTCTCATGACGTCTACCTTCAATTCCTGGCACCACGTGTTTGATGTTCTGTCTGTTTTTGTTTCGCATTGACGATTCCAATTTAGGGCTCACGTCATGATGTAGTTTAATGAAAGTTCTATCCAATTCCAGCGTTCTTTTCTAATTTCACTTTCAGATAGAAGCTGGTTTGTTCTCTCACACACTAGATTGTTGCTGATGGTGTCTCACCAGCGGATATGAAGTATTTTGTTTAATCAACTGTTAATAGATACCTGAATAATCTTTGCATCTACATCTGCATCAAATCATCCTTGTTCATCGATGATGCTTTCTAGGTGGTTGAACGTTTTCACATCATCCAGAGTTTCTTTACCATATAAGATTTAGTCGGTGTTCTCTGTGTAATTTTTCGGGATCTTCCTGTAGAGGCTTCTGCAACACTGGTTTTCTTCATCTATATTTGTTGGTGTATTAAGGATAGAAAGTCTAGGTCATCTGCGTAGTCTAAATCATCTGGTTACATATAAACTGTTCACTGTATTTCATGCTTTCCTGAAATATGGTATGCGTAATCTAGTTCACCACCAGAATAAGGAGAAAAGATAAAAGTAAGTAGCCTGACCTGACATTGATCTTCCCTTGGAATGCATTTGTATGGCGTTGTCTGTGTACGACATTGCAGTGTAATTCATCATATGAATTTATAACTTGTATCCGAATTTAAGGACAGTATTATAAACCTCAGTTGTCATTCAATGTGATTGAAATAATATTTATGCAAAACAATAACTTATTATATGAGTAATATATACACATCTTAATGTTCATAGAGGAATCTTTTGATTATTAAAAGCGTTATATAATTTAAATCAATAATAAGTAGTACATTGCTTAAAAACAAAAATCTGAAAATCATTTGTCTTGACCAGTGGAGCTAATCCGTGTCAGGTAGAGACAGGTATCTACCTCAGTACAATGAAAGATGGTCGCTCAACTTCGTGGATTGGTTAAAGTTAGACATTAACACCAATTGGATGCCGGCGTAATGGTCCGGTAGGTTAAGTGTTTGCGCGCGAGACCAGTAGATCCTGGGTTCGAACCTTGTGGGGAAAGGTACCGTGGATGCGCACTGCTGAGGAGTCCCACAATAGGACGAAACGGCCGTCCAATGCTTCCAGGTTTTCAATGGTGGTCTGACATCAATCGGTTCATGATCTCAATCTGAAAACAAATTGCTTGTTTTTTTATTTAGGTAAACCCTATCAATGATGGTATTCTGCAGCAGTACAATTTAATTACAAACTACTTCTTTTAAAGGTTGATTTGATCCAACATATGAAATTGTGATGTGAGCTACTTATATCAACATAAGTAGTATATAATGATAGTCAGGAATAGAATGTATTTCAGTAGAAGATTGAGAAGGAAAGAACAAGAATGGAAAGTAATTGGTAAGAAAATACAGGAACAATGAAATCTGAGACGATAGATTGATATATGTCAAAGGAACAGTCAGGTTTAAGACGATAGATTGATAGTTTGCAAATTAACTATTTACTATATATGGATCTGAGATATTAGTGAGATGTTCTGTAATTTTGTGCACGATTACATTCGATTATTCCCACTAGGGTTTATTGTTCCATACAGAAATAATCAAATAAAGAAATACTTTAACTAAACACCAAATTATAACAGAAACATTCTATTCATTGGTATGAACCAATCGTTGGTCACTGGCTACCATGGGACTGCATCTCCTCACGATGTTCCACTGCCTTGTGGATCAGATCTTCAGGTCGAAGGCTCGGGGTGTGGCCCCCTAAGAAAACCACCTGCTTCGGTTTGGGCACCCGGGCAATATCACAGCCCTCACACAAATCAAATGAGATCTGTGTGGCGCATATGTATTTGGTGCCTTCTTGTACCGATATTTATGTGTTAAAATAAAATAAATAAATAAAAATTCATTAAAACAATGTGTTAGTGTAGGGAATGAGAACAGAAAATGGGAATAATAGAACGTCTTTGTATAAATCTAAAAATCCTATAGTAAATACATCATATGCGAAATGTTCATCAGAATTGATTGTTTCTTCATTTCCACATCATTCACTCGATGTTCTTGTTTTGTTATTTTTTGTCTTTTCAATCTTCTTAACTTTCTTCTGTCAGATATTTCACTTTAGATTGATAACACATACTACTTATATATCTGTAAACATTAGTAAGCACACATCACAACAGTAGTGAGACAGCAGGAGACAATCGAATGTATTTGAACAAACAATTAAAGAAAGTCTTATTAAAATCTAAGAATCATATAGTGAATACATCATTTACAAAATGTCAATCAATTGTCTTAGACTTGATTATTTCATTATTTCTGTTAGGTTCTGATAAGCATAATGAATGGGAACTTTTGGGATCTACTGACAAATCACTACTATACATATATTTTTATTGTATCATTGTGAAGTAGCTAAACTATTCATATTCATATCTCTCTTGTTATGAGCTTTATTTTGACCTGTTGAACTATTATTATACAATTTATCATTCTTCAATGATGCCGTGTCTATTAGTCACTGCCTTCCATATTCACAGCCACATTTGACTAAATCTCGTACAAATGTCGTTTCATACTTTATGGTACGATGTGGTCTGTTTGATTGGTATATAAACTCAGTATGTTTGAAATATAATGATTCATATTGCAGAGATTGAGTTAGGTGTTCTAGACTTTAACTGGTTAGGTTAGGTAGGAACCAGGAACAATGAGGACTCTAGACTGCTCTCAAGTATTTTACGCGTCATTGATTCGATCGATAAGTTACTGTTCACTAATTGGTTATATCATTATGTTATCCATTAACAGGGCACACAACATCATAATTTATATTAAGAACATTAAATAAAACAATGTAAAACAAAATATTCTAAATATTCAGTCCTTATAATTGTTATGTAATTAGCAATGAACTCCTTTATTAGCAATAAATTAAGGATGAGTGTTAATTCTGTTAACTTACACTTCAACACGTTCAACTTTAACACCCCAAGGATCTGTAGCTTCATCTAACATGGTCTATTAAAGATAAGATAAAAAGAAAAGAGGAATGACAAACAATAATCCAGAAATAGTTTACAAGAAATGCATTAGAAACGTTCATGTAAAACTGATATTATCAGAAGGGGTTTTGTGGAGATTTTAGTAATTTCAATAGTTGAAATCCTAGTATGGGACTCCCCAGCAGTGACGGTGGCGCAATTTTTTGGATTGAATGAAGTTGGACATTAACATTGTTGGATGCCGGATGGCTCAGTGGTCTAGTGGTTAAGCGCTCGCGCGTGAGACTGATAGGTACTAGTTTCGAATCTCACGGGGATGGGCGGGATCCCGGATTTCCACTTCTGTGGAGTCTCATACTAGGAAGAAATGGCCATCCAGTGCTTCTAGGTTTTCCATAGTGATCTAGCTTCGTTCGACTCACGATTTCAACTATTGAAATTAGTAAATCTGATGGTGAATTGCATTGGTCCGACTATATCGTGAGGGGAAAAGTGAAATGAACAAACTTGTAACAAATTTGTTTATACTGTATAGATTGCCTCGATATTGCCTTAATTCACAGGCATTATAAGCAAAGATGGATAGTGACTAGCAGTGTAATTCAAGAGTGAATATTAACTCTGAGATGAAAGTACATCCATCTGAAAAGTCCTAGGTAGGACGAAACGTGAGACCTGGATTGCACCGCAGGCCACTATTCATCTTTATTTATAAACGGACTGTTTTAAAAGAATTACTTTAAACCTTTTTCTTTTCTATCATTAGTATTTAGTTCTAGTAGACTGTATGTATTATAACCGTTTTATTTTATTACATAATATATACGGTCATTTCAATAATTGAGATTGAAGCTAGACCATCATGGAAAACCTGGAAGCACTGCATGGTCATTTCATCTTATTGTGAGACCCCTCAGCCTTGGGCATCCACGACCTCACTACGCGGGATTTCAAGCCAGGATCTCATGATCTCAACTATTGAAATAACTACAATCTCCACAAAACCCTTTCTGATATACAGTTATTTTGTAAATATATAATTAGTTGTGATCTATGAAACGGAAATGTATCTATAATGAGATCCTGTTTAGGAGAAACCATATCATTTAGCTTATCGCAACCAACATTTGCTTCTATAGTATACGTTTCATCAAATAACGTTAGTTTGATAATATACTGTTGAGATGATCCAGAAAATTTCTCGCATATGACAAGCAAGGATCAGAGAACACTAAGAAGCATTTCATCCAATCAGCGTTCACTTGAAGTTTTAGCCAGAAACATCAAAGAAGTGAAACGTCACCACATGCAGAGGTTCTGATTGGCTGATGACTATACTGCTACTATATTTTTAGTAGCATTCCAGAATCTTCGAGCAACTCAACGACATTTAAAATATTATAAAAACCTTATATTTTCTGTATTAAAATGAACCTTTAGAGTAAAGTACTTTTCGCATACTTTGCACCTTCTCTCTCTTGTTCAGGTCACTTTGTTTAAGTTCTAGCTAGGGGGGTTACAAGAAAAGCTTAGGAACAGAGTATACCGTTCAATTTGCAAGACTTATCATATCGATATATAAAACTTACTTGCATCATACCAGAGATTGTATCACGTTCTGATAATATTTCAGATAAATTTTTTGTACCTAAAACATTTCTTAATGTAGTTGCTGCAAGTAGACGAGTGGATCGATCAGCATCTTCAACATTTGTTATTGCAACAACTGGATTATAAATACGATAATAAACAACTGCATCTACAGCAACTGTTACAGAATCACGAGTAAGTACCTATTACATTGAAATGAGAAAATAATAATAATAAAAACTATATATTTAAACTACTCATTGGAATTGAGAAGATAAGGTTGATTAAATGAAGTAATGATTCGTTATTATTTCCAGTGAATATTAAACATTGAATGTTAAACGAAACGCTTGTTTATTCTTATGTTTACTAAACAAAAAAACTTTTTATTAGAAGAGGTTTTGTGGAGATGTTTAGTAAGTTCAATAGTTGAGTTCATAATTCAATTGAAGCTAGACCACCATGAAAAATCTGGAAGCATTGGAAGGCTGTTTCATCCTATTGTGGGACTCCTCAACAGTGCTCATTCACGATCACACCCTCCGTGAGATTAGAACTCAGGACCTATTGATCTCGTGCGCGAGCGCTTAACTATTAGATCCTTGAGCTGACATCCAACAGTGTTAATGTCTAAATTCAATCAATTCACGTAGTTGAGACACAGTCAATGCTGAGGAGTACTAGACTAGTACAAAACCGCCGTCCAATGCTTCCAGATTTGTTATGATGATCTACCTGCAATTGACTCATGAACCCAACTATTAAAATTACTATAATATCCACAAAACCCCTTTCAGATATCATTATTGTTTATTTAACACTCTGATCTTGACAATATTCATAGACCTCCATCGAATATGGATAACGAAGAAAAAAATGTTTGTTATTGAACACTGAAAAAAAACACTAATATGAACATCAATTAATATCGTTTATTTGAATCTTCCCATTGATCTCATTAGGACGGCAATTGATCAGTTTGTTATTAGCATATGTATATACTGTGCGTATTGCTTTGATATTGCCTATATTCACAAGTTTTATAAGCAAAGATGGATAGTGGCTAACAGTGGAATCCAAGATGCGCATTTTGTCCTATTTGAGACTCATCAGCTGAACGTATCTGAATGCCAGAATTGATATTTAACCCGTTGCACAAACAGGTGGCTATTAGGAGTCAGTAGCTAAGCGAATAATAGGATGGTGTTTAAATTAAATGGTACTGAGTTCCAGTTCCAGAGTGAACATCAACAACTCTGAGGAACAGGTACATCGAGCTGACGAATCCCAACTAGGCCAAATACAGAATACATTTAATGATACTATAGTTCCTAACATTCATCTTTAAAATAGATGACAAAAACTATAAAAGAAATCTGTTCTTTAATTATCTATGTACATTAATGGGAAATGAATAAAAGGTCATAACCTAATGATAAGCAATTTCTATTCACAAATATATATAGATAAGTGTGTACACTACAAATGTCATGTTTGTTTTGAACATATGGTAAAATAGTAAACATAGTATATACTATTTTAACTTATATTTAGTAAATAGAAGACCATGATTAGTCTTTTAGAAAATATAAGACAGAGAGAGAGATAATCAAAGTCGTTATTATAAAATTGTTGAATTTTATTTGAAATCATAAACCGGTCTATGTTAGACCACCATTGAGACACATTAACAGTACGTATCCATAATGCAGCATGTGATAGTCAGACTCAGAATCTTCAGTATCACACCTGAACACTAATCCAGCATCTGATGACGTTATTATCTGATTATAATCAATTCATGATATCGTGAAATCATCTTTTATAGTCTTCTGTGAGTAACTGTCTCATGTCGGATACGGTTAGACTTGATCAGTCATGGTCTCTTACAAGGACTGTAAGAATTTCCACACATAGCTAGTCATTGGTGAGCATATGATAAATTTTTATTATGTGGTTGTAGAGATTGTTGAAGTTTAATAACTGATTAGTTTACATGTTTCATCAAATCACTATCATTCATTGCTAAAAGTTTAATATAAGGACAACTGTAGTGAACAGAACACCAGTGATATTCGACAACAAATTAAAAAGAATCTCAATAAAATCTGAAAACCATATCGTAAATGCTTAATTTACAAAATAACCATTAATTCTCTCAAAATGACTCAGACTTCCTTTGTTTTTGCATTTTCATACAAATTCCATTGTGTTTACATTCTTTACTGTTCGATTCTCTTGTTTCTCTGTGCTGCAAGACATTCTGTTCCTGACTTACGTCATATACTACTTATGTCCATATAAGTAGCACACACCACATTCGTCCCGCCTTTAAAGCGGTTGTTCTTGCGGTGGTCCATGCTCGCCCTCCAACATTCTTATTTTCTGAGACCGTGCTACGCCGTCCATCAAAATGTCGGGTTTTCAGCGCGCTGACCTCCATAGTTCCGTCGACCTACCGGGGTACCAACATACGACATCCATCCGGCACCTGGGACGCCTGACACCCGTACTCCACCGGCCTGCTGGGCCATCTACACCCGATATTCGCCAAGTGGCCGCACGTCCCACCACTCTTCTCCGTCGACAGCAACATCCACAGCCAACGCTAACCCGCCAGAACACTGTACTAGACGCCACCTACTGCGCACCGGACTGCCTCAACCGGCACCTCAGCTCCAGACCCGCAACGGCGTCCGCAGAACAGCACCCTTCCCCTCTCCCGGTTGGCAGCGACAGCAAATGTAGTGAATAGGAACACCATTGAGGAACAATCGAATGTATTTGGCACACAACTTACATACCTTGCAAAATAACCATTAATTGTCTCAAAATGACTCAGAATTCCTTTGTTCTTGTATTTTCATACAAATTGCATTCTTTGTTGTTCGATCTTCTCGTCTCTCTGCTGCCAGACATTCTGTTCCTGACTTAGGTCATATACTACTTGTGTCTACATAAGTAGCATACACCATACAACAACTATCCATTAAGTTAATTACAATTTCAATAATCTTCATAAACATTATATCCTTATAAAATAGAACATCTACCCTAAATATTTCTATTTCTCTTTTCATTGATAATGTAATGAATAAGTCGAATATTTTAATCATTAACATAACATGTATACATTCTAATAGTCACCATGTAATAATAAAAGCTTATTTTTATCACTTAGCAACAATTAACCATTAAACCTACTATTAAATAAACATAAGAATGAAATGTATTCAAAACATTGTTCAAGATTTCAATATACATACATATATCAATGCTAAACATTCACATCTCTCTCCATACATTATGTAATCGAAGATAATCGACGAGACTCTAATTTATGGAGAACCTTTGAACGAAGCTTAAGTGTCTTTGAGAAATACTAGCCAATCAAGAAACAGAAAGTATAAAGTAAAAATATATACAAATATTCGTCAAGATTAGAACGAATCATTTGACCGAAATCGGGCTCCATGTATAGAGAATTCATTATATATGAAAATATTTTATACAAAATCAAAGAAAGAAACAGGATACACTTCATATACGTGGTTTAAAAGCTTGTTAAGGTTAAAAAGAGGTTTAGAGGTTCTAAAATAGCAATGCATGCAGCAGAAGAAATCATCCATATGGCTACAAAATAGTCGAACTCTGGAGTCGGGATACAGTCTCAAAAACTCTACGAGCCTCGACCACATAGCTTCAATATCGTTTACGTTCACTCCGGTTGTTAAGTACACAAATTGCCACTTGTGAATAACGACACGATGCACGTAACCAAGTCTTTCTAGGAGTCCGTACGCTCTCCAAACATCCCTATATATATGCGTAGTATCGTACGTTAGCATTAAACACAGAAGTTGGCGCCGTAACCTTGAAATCTCTAAAACGCTTCTGATTGGCTCGTCCATAAATTTGAGTCTCGCCAGATAATCGACAAAGGATCTTTTATGAGTTTTGCACTATACTTCAGGTACTTACTGAGTCCCATTTAGTGAACTGAAAAGACTCAAAGAATCTTTTGTTATTGAATAAATTGACAAATAGATTAAACAATGGTTAGCCGAATCATTAAATTATTCATATAGATTATAATTAATTAAATTATAATATAAAGTTCTCAACATCCTGTTTGAATAACAATGACAAAAAAGAGAAAAAAAACAAAAGAGAAAAGGGAGGACAATTAAATAACCTATCTATTATTGAAAAAGAAAAAAAACGAAAAATGAAAAAGAAAAGAAAAAGAAGATAAACAATCATTCATATTGAAAAGAAAAATTAAAAAAATAAAAAAAAAATAAAAGAAAATATTAAAATAATTTTGTTTTTTTTATTTAAACAAAAGAAAAAAGAAAAGAAATTATTTTACAGCTTGAATGTTGCATGATCTCAACTTTTTCTTAAAATCTTATTCAATATCAAAAACACGAAAATATACAGCACAATAATAATCATACTAATAATAGTAATGATAGTAATGACAGTAATAGTAACAATAGTAGTACTGATAGTAATGGTAACAATAGTAGTGATGATAGTAATGATAACAATAGTAGTAATGATAGTAATGATAACAATAGTAGTAATGACAGTAATAGTAACAATAGTAGTAATGATAGTAATGATAACAATAGTAGTAATGATAGTAATGGTAACAATAGTAGTGATGATAGTAATGATAACAATAGTAGTAATTATAGTAATGGTAACAATAGTAGTGATGATAGTAATGATAACAATAGTAGTAATGATAGTAATGATAACAATAGTAGTGATGATAGTAATGATAACAATAGTAGTAATTATAGTAATGGTAACAATAGTAGTAATGATAGTAATGATAACAATAGTAGTAATTATAGTAATGGTAACAATAGTAGTGATGATAGTAATGATAACAATAGTAGTAATGATAGTAATGATAACAATAGTAGTAATGATAGTAATGGTAACAATAGTAGTGATGATAGTAATGATAACAATAGTAGTGATGATAGTAATGATAACAATAGTAGTAATTATAGTAATGGTAACAATAGTAGTGATGATAGTAATGATAACAATAGTAGTAATGATAGTAATGATAACAATAGTAGTAATGATAGTAATGATAACAATAGTAGTGATGATAGTAATGATAACAATAGTAGTGATGATAGTAATGATAACAATAGTAGTAATGATAGTAATGATAACAATA